CACTAGACTGCGGAGGGGAACAGCCACCACACGTCTGTACCATCAGGACAGGTTTCTTCACTTCTCTGTGCCCTGGGTTGAAGTCATACAGGGCTATGTCAGTGTTAGCTCACAGTAGGTGTTCAATAAATCATAACTATCGATTCACTTATCACAAATTATTTTGTGGAAGAAATAGCATATTTCTGAGCATCAGTTACCAAAATGAGAAATGTAGCAGGAAGAAGGGGTGTAGAGGAAAGATTATGAGCTAGACTTTAGGCATAGTGAACACAAGGTGCACGTGGGGCAACCAGGTAAGAAGCTGAATATCTGGAATTTGGGAGTCTGGTGAAGCCAAGACATGTGAGAAGTTCCTCAAGTGTAAGAAAGAGAAGAGGAACAGAGAGAGAGCTAAGGATGGTGTCTGGAGGAGCCCAACATCACAGGGCCCAGCAGAGTGGGGATGTGTCTAAGCCATAGAACAAGCAGAGATAGGAGGACAAGCTGAGAACATGGGGGCAAGAACTTCAAGGCAGAGAAAGCTTCAAGAAGAGGGGTGTGATTGATCTTACATCATGTGTACATTTTCTTTCTTTTTATGTTTACTTATTTATTTAAAATTATAAAAAAAATTTTTTTTAAGTTTACTTATTTATTTTGAGAGAGAGCATGCATGTGGGAAGGTCAGAGAGAGATGGAGAGAGACAATCCCAAGCAGGCTCCACGTTATCAGCACAGAGCCGGACAGCAGGGCTCAACTCATGAACCATGAGACCATGACCTGAGCAGAAATCTAGAGTCCGACATTTAACCAACTGAGCCACCCAGGCATCCCTTCAAATATTTTTTTTTTAAGCTTATTTATTTCAGTTTATTTGTTTTTTGTTTGTTTGTTTGTTTTTGAGAGAAAGAACAGGGGAGGGGCACAGAGAGGGAAAGAGAGAATTCCAACCAGGCTCCACACTGTCTGTGCGGAGCCCCACGTGGGGCTTGATCCCACGAATTGGGAGATCATGACCTGAGCCGAAATCAAGAGGCTGAGCCACCCAGGTGCCCCACGTGTGTATTTTCACATGCTGCAGCATGACCAAGGAATACAAAGGGCAATAAAGCATCCGACGGGCTTGGCAGCAACAAGACACTGCTTTCATGGGGTTCATGGGTTGGAAGCCACCTTGACACAAGTTAGGGAGAGAGTGGGGCATAAGGATGTGGGACTGATGGCTGGGAAATGGAGCCGAGACATAGCAGACAGTAAGTAAAGGGGAGTGTGGGGTTAAGAGGGAGACTTTTTGGTGTGTCTACAAAAGGAAGGGAAGTCAGAGTCACCAAACATGGTGAGTTCACACAGTATTGACTGAGGTGAGCTGTGAAAGGTGGCATTGCCCAGAACACACGGCCATCGTGAAAGTGTGTGCAAAGTGTTCTAGCACCAAACCCCAGCCCCAAAGACTCAGGGACCTCCGACAAAGGCAGTGCTGTGGGAGCTGGGAATGGCGGATGAAGATGAGTTTGGTGAGGAAACTGGGCTAGAAGGGGGGCCAGTGCAGGCGAGCACATCAGCAGATGCCAAGGCAGAGAGGCACAAAGGAGGAAGCTTGCTTCAGGAATGGCAGCTATTCAAGGTGGGGGACACACAGAAAGGCTGAGGGGAAAGGAGGGGCTGGCTACAAGGACTGGATAGGGCCAGGCTGCCCGGGCCAGCCCAGGTGCTTGAACATCACTGTGAGGTTACTGATGGATTTTAAGTAGCAGAATTAAATGACCAGGTTCTTGCCTTAGCAAGGAAACTCATATGGAAGACAAATTGTCCTAAGAGGCCAAGGGTCTGAAGCAGGAAAAGAGTGGGCAGGAAGAGAGGAGGAGGGGTTACCTTTTAAAGGTCTTAGGAATGTGGTATTATCAGAGTCCACTCACAGCTAAATGAAGAGGGCAGAGAGGAGGGCTTAGTCCTCCAGGGATGACCTGGTAGACCGTGGACCACTGCATGAGACAGAGATTGTAAGCTGGGGTGTGGGAAGAGTCATGAGGCAATGAGTTCAATGTAGACACTCTAGTTATGACTAACTTCCAGGCTATCAAGAGGAAGGTGCTCAGCAAGTAGATAGAAATATGGCTCTAGGCCTCAGGGGGAGTCTGGCTGAATAGGAGTTTAGAACATATCACCCCCTAGTCATAGCAGAAGCCCTAAGACATCTGCTCAAGTGAGTACCGATCTCTTGGGCTTTGGTGCTGGCTCAGCTGGAGCAACGCCTCTCTCACTGATTACAACTAGACTCCAGGTAGAATACACCACAAGCAACTACCTGAGGACTGTCCCAAGGTGTAAGAGTAAGAGATTGAACGGAGCCAAAACTTGAATAATGACCCATAAAAGGGATGAGTTTCATTTTCCTTTTCTTCCTTTGAGTCCCGATTTTGAAATATGGGGTACAGGGTGAATCACACAACTGCATGGCAGGCATTAAAAACAGAAACTGGAGAAGACCCTTAGAGGTAGCCAGAGGACAAGGACCAGGTTGCCCTGCATGAGGGAGACTGCTTTTTCTTTCTCTCTTTCTTCTCACCCTAGTCCAAGCTGTGAAAGTACACAGCCAGGGGCCTGCACTCCTAGTACAATGTCAGGGCAGCTACCCAAAACCCCAAGACAAGGCTGGCTCTTTGACCAAAGGTACCAGAAAAAGGGGCCCCTTGTATCTGAAGACTGTAGGTGAAATCCCTATTATTTTGTCCATCTCTTTTTTCTGGCCGCTTTGCCCTAAAGACGGTTCCAGATGCACAGAACTGTACAACAGAGGAGGGGGTTACTAAAACCTGTCTTTATGAGAGAAATCTTTCTTTCTGGTCATAGGAGCTTTGAAGGGGGTTTCTAAGTCTGCATATGAACTGATGAAGTGATTCACCCCTAGGCTCTGCATGCATGGGGAAGATGCAAAAAAAAAAAAAAGCATAGAGCATAAGCTTCAAGAACTAAACTACCATATAAACCACCGCCTAAGTCCCAGCATAGCCTGAGCGGGGCTTGTGTGGGGCAGACATGAAGAAGCTTTGAGAACTGACCTGATGCTGGAACTAAGACCTGCAGAAGGCTAAACAGAATTTGTAGTATGAACCTAACCAGGTTGACTGCATGCCAAGGAAAAACAAAACGGGCAAAACAAACAAACAATATTTCTCAGAGTTCTAACAGGATGATACCGAAAAGACAGCCAACAAATGCCAACCCCCAAAATGACCCAGATATTGGAATTATCACACAAACACCTCAGGGCAGGCATTATCACATGCATTTCATTCAGTTTAAAATATTTTCGCTCCTCTGAACCCAGTAGGGGTAAAACAAGGACAGGCAAGAGTGTCAATTAGGATGGGTCACTAGATCAGACTCATCACTTAAGAGTTTCATAGTTCTGGGGCACCTGGGTGGCTCAGTTGGTTAAGTGTCCAACTTTGGCTCAGGTCAGGTTCATGAGTTTTAGAGACCCGCATCAGGCTGTCTGCTGTCAGCACAGAGCCTGCTTTGGATCCTCTGTTCCCCTCTCTCTCTGCTCCTCCCCTCTGGTGTTCGCACGTTCTCTCTCTCTCTCTCTGTCTCTCTCTCTCTCTCTGTCTCTCTCTCAAAAATAAGTAAACATTAAAAAAAAAGTTTCATAGTTCATTACCAAATGGTGTAAGGGCTAAGATTCTAAAACAGAGCACTGCCATGAAGTAGCTTCCTTAAATCATGTGAATTGCAGAACAGCTGAATAAAAGCAGACTTGTGATATTCCAGGGCTTGTGTCTGCAAATGCTTTCTGTCAAGGGCCAGAGTGTAACTTATTTTAGCTTTGCAAGCTAAGAGGTAAAATCACAGTTACCAGGTAGGTAGGTTAAAGGTGAGAAACCTCTGACCTGCTTGACCCTGACTGCCTGGGGTGGGCCATCTGGGATCCAATGGAAACACACCCAGGATAAAAAGCTACCAGACTGAAGAGGGTCCTGGTGGGTCAGGCAGACGTTGGTGGGGACCAGGTCACTTTTGCTTTTTGCCTCAGATACCCCCAGATCCCAATGTGCCCTTCTCCTGAGAGCTAAGCAGTTTCAGTTTGGTCAGCTTGCTGGAGGCTAGGCTCCTGAGTCGCTGACTGAAATTCCACAACGGAGTGCCTGGTAATAGCCAACAGTCACCAGTGTGTAAGTGGCCACCAGCACAGGCCCTGGGCAGCAACACTGGGAGCGGAGGAGGAAACGGGGATGGAGGGGACACCCCAGATTGATCTCCAGGTCTTAAAGCGCTAGCCTTCTCGATCAGTGCCTGGCCTTACGAAAACAGATGGTGGGCCGGATTTGGCCCACAGGCTGCCAGGTTTGCTGGCCCCCGTTCTTCTGCCACTAAAAACTTCAAAGATAAGCTTGAAGGACAACCTAATGAAATGTGAATCGCAAAAAATTTCTTTATCAAAATATAAGGTTTCATATTTGAATACAATGTGCATTTTTACACTCACATTATTTTAAATGAGACTTTACATCAACCCCTCCCTCCTTGAAGTTCACTATCAGGTGCAGGAAATGTGAACACTGAGTTTTATAAAACCTTTTCCGGAGTCATGAAAGTGTTACTTTTGGAAATAGAAAGCATTGAAAGACAGACTGGTTAGGGGTGCCTGGGTGGCTCAGTTGGTTAAGTGTCCAACTTCGGCTCAAGTCATGATCTCACAGTTTGTGAGTTCGAGCCCCACGTCAGCCTTTGTGCTGACAGCTCAGAGCCTGGAGCCTGCTTTGGATTCGGTGTCTCCCTCTCTCTCTGCCCTCCCCTGCTCACACTCTGTCTCTCAAAAATAAACAACCTTAAAAAAAAATTCAAAACACAGACTGGTTAAACCATATTACTTCCAAGAATTTGTTACTCTTCCTACTGCAGAGCTGAGAAGTGGAAGCAGATGAGATAGGCCTTGTTAGTACACGTCATAGTAAGACATGAGAGGGGGAGGGCAAAGATGTTACTTGTCACGACATCGCCCGCTTGTGAAACCTACCCTGATAAATGGTTTCATCTTCCTCAGTCACGTAGGCATTGGCTCCCCAGATCACCATCTTATTGATGTAAGATGGATATCTTGCAGCTGCTATGAGTGCTGTAATACCACCATCGCTCCACCCCAACAAGGACACCTTCTTAAACTTCAGTGTCTGTGATAAATACAGAGAAATGCACAGCACAGGTGATTGCTCCTCTCTGCTAGAAGAATCTGATCATTAACAATCATCCAAATCAATACAGTGTGGGGTTTGGAGCATCACTTGATAATTAAAGTCCTAGAGGCCAGCATTTGATGACAGAAATGTTTTTTTCTCATTTAGTTCTGGTGTAAATGTAAGTATCATAAAAACCTAAGTACACAGTATTGTTTTGAATTATGAGGGAACGACATCTTCTGTTTGGATAAAATCTCTGGAAACAGTGGAGATCAGCTGTCCTTAGAAATGACAAATCACATGTGCATGCACACCCACACCTGAGCAAAGACTTTGAGACTAGTAATGTAGATTAGACAGGGGAACTTGATATTTCCTGGATGAAATGAAGTCACTGCATCTGATAAAACCACTGAGGGCAACTGTGGGAAGAAGTGTCTGGAGACAGGCTGGAGGAGAATGGTGTCACAGGAGGTTATGCTAGTCCTTATATCAACCAGGCTCTGAAAATGTGTTTGACAAGGAAACTGAACAAAGATTACATCTGACAGATGTTGCCTAGGGGTAAAACTAGAATGACTTGGAAAATTAAAGATGTAACAAATATCAGTCCAAGATACTGATGGGACTATAAATTGCTAGAAGTCGCATGTATAATAATTTGGCACTATCTTGTCCAACGAACATTTGCATCTTCTATAACTCGGCATCATCCCCTAGATATGTATGGAACTTTTGCACATGTGTACCAGGAGACAGGTGTAGGGTGTCCACACCAACGGTGTTTATAAAGGAATTAAACGTCCATGGACAAAACAATGTTCACTGCCCTGCTGCTCATAACCACAAAAAAAAAAAAAAAAAGGAACTTAAAAATTAAGTTATTTATCTACCATTAGAGATATATGAAATAAGACAGTACATCCCTACAATGGACTATGACTATTATATTTATATAAATTTATATTTATTAACATGAAAGTATTTCCTCGACAAACTGTTCTAAGAGTAAGTTGGAAAAACATTAGATATAGTATGATGCCATCAATACAATCCTGTGTATTTATATGTGTCAGAAGATTGGCTGGAAAGGGAGTCTCAAAGTCATAACAATGATATCTCTAGTTGGATTGTGAGATATTTCTACTTCCTTATTCACACCTATTTGATTGAACTTAAATTTTCTTTTTTTTTTTAATTTTTTTTCAACGTTTATTTATTTTTGGGACAGAGAGAGACAGAGCATGAACGGGGGAGGGGCAGAGAGAGAGGAAGACACAGAATCGCAAACAGGCTCCAGGCTCCGAGCCATCAGCCCAGAGCCTGACGCGGGGCTCGAACTCACGGACTGCGAGATCGTGACCTGGCTGAAGTCGGACACTTAACCGACTGTGCCACCCAGGCGCCCCTGAACTTGAATTTTCTTTAAGAATCACATGGCATCACCCTTGTAGAAATAAAAACAAAAACAAAATAGATGAAGACAGGCCCAGTCATCCTCCCTCCTCTGGGCTCTTCTCTGAGAGACCCACCTTCATCAAATCAACTGCATCTTTTGCATCCCTTTCAAAAAAGTCCAGTGGGAAATCTCGATCTGGGGGTCTGGAATGTCCATATCCTCGAGGATCCCAGGCAACCACTGTGAAGAGCTTTTTATTGAGGTTCTTAATCTGAGGTCCAAAATCAGTCTCTCCACTTCCTAAAAACAGCCACTTGGTTACCCTCAGGTGAAGGATTTCATTATTTCAAACACATTACAGTAAAAGCAGAAACAACTACAATTTTAAAACAAAGTAACTAGTTTCTACTCAAAGTTAGACAGTGGGATGCAGTCAGCAAAATAGTCTTGTGATGATAAAATCCATTTACTGGAAGGCTGACTTCCTTTCCTGGTAGAGTTCAGACCTGCCTTTTGTCTCCTCCCAGTGGCTACTTTGAGGACAGAGGCTCCAATACATTTGGCCCTGTATTATTTCAGCATTTTTGATACTTTTTCAATTAATCTTCCTTAAAAAAAAAAAAAAAAAGGAATTCATGAAATTGCATAGAAATTGACTTATTGATATGATATGTTTCTGGGTTATTTTTTCTTTCCTTTTAAAAAACTGGCTGTTATAGGGGCACCTGGGTGGCTCAGGCAGTTAAGCATCCAACTTCGGCTCAGGTCATGATCTCACGATATGTGGGTTCGAGCCCTGTATCAGGTTCTGTGCTGACAGCTCAGAGCTTGCTTCAGATTCTGCGTCTTCCTCGCTCTCTGCCCCTCCCCCACTTGTGCGCGCGCGCATGCGCGCGCGCTCTCTCTCACTCTCTCAAAAAAATAAACATTAAAAAAAAATGACTTATAAATGAGAGAGATCCCAATATTATCTGTCAACAAATCTATAAGATTTGGTACAAGTTATTCAAAGGAGGATTCTAAATTCCCAGGCGTTTTTTACTAAGCAAATGTGAACAGCCCTGAAGATTTTATTTTCTGGTTATAAATAAATACCAGAAAACTCAACGAAAACACTGAAATCAGGGGGAGGGCAGGATGTGGAGGGACGAAATCAAATTAATTATTTCATTAAAACACCAGCAAACGTTAACCAGCAGAACTATGTTCTTGAGCCTGTGGTGGACCTGACTGGCAATTCCCAGCCCACCTGCGAGGTCACGGCCACTGTGTGCACACACCTACTGCATGTGGCCCCGAAGGCCAGACTCTCAAGGAGCCCAGTCTAGGGACCAGTCAGCATTTCATTTTTATTTTTATTTATTTATTTTAAATTTTTTTTAATGTTTATTTATTTTTGAGACAGAGAGAGACAGAGCATGAACGGGGGAGGGTCAGAGAGAGAAGAAGACACAGAATCTGAAGCAGGCTCCAGGCTCTGAGCCGTCAGCACAGAGCCCCGTCGGGCTCGAACTCACGGGCTGTGAGATCATGACCTGAGCCGAAGTCGGACACTTAACCGACTGAGCCACCCAGGCGCCCCAGCATTTCATTTTTAAAGTAAGCAGAACTTGTAGCTCTGGCCACACATGGATACTGAACATCTTGCTTGATAAACAAGCTACTATTAGAAAATGTCTTTCAAGATGTTGCAGGATTCTGTTACAGGATAATGTTAATTATTATAGGACTACCATCCTTCCTGGAAAGATCTATCTTTCTCAACATCAGGTAAATAAATCATTCAGGAAACCTAAGGCAAAAATATAAATGGATTTCAAGTGCATGTCTACTGCTCTGACACACGAAGCATCTCTTGTGGTCCCTGGACTGAAGAGACTTCCACATGGGAACCACCCTGAAGGAGGTGCAGGAGGTGAGAAGGTGGGAAAAGGGAACAGTTTATCTCAAGACCAATTTCAGAAATGATGAGACGCTTCCTTTCTGGCACACAGGTATACATCTGAATACCAAATACTAAATACTAAAGAATACTAAAACCTTTAAAAAGTTATTTTAAGGAATAGTTACCAGTATATGATACCTGAGAAGGAAACACAATACTGGTTGCCTGTGGGGAAGGGTACTGGGTGCTAGGTGACAGAGGACTGGAAGAGAGAATCTCACTGTTTTTAATTTGGGGATCAGGTTAACGTTTTACATAAAGAAATTAAGTTATGAAAAGTGTTTTATACCTGGATCACAATCACAGTACTGAAATAATGGAAATTTAAGTCGGTAACTTGTTCACTACTTTACAGATACCTTTAGACCTACACCAGTCAATAGAGTAAATCTCCTCCTTTGTTACAAAAGCTTAGGAGGAAAAAAAAATACTAAATACTATCTAGACAAAGATGCTTCAATAGCTACAATAGTACCACAATAAGCTAAGGCTCAGTCAAGTGGAACCAACAAGTAATTGAAAATTTTAGCATTTTATTTTAGAAGAAAAAAGTCGTAAGGAAATAGTATATATTGGGATTATTTAACTAAGTCAAAACAATATTGAAGCCCTTAAAACCAAATCTGAGATGTCCTGGGATTGCTGGAAATTATCCGCCTAAACTGTCTACATGTAAATTACTTATCTGGAAAATGAGACAGATTCAGTTGGCTTCACCATGCTCCATTCATGCCAATTTAATTTTGATTTACAAAAAGGCTTTAAACTAAGCTTGTTCTTAGCTCTTATTTTAATTGAGCATATAATCAACTGCAACAGGGCAATCCATGTTTTAGCACTGGAAGTCTTGTATCCTGGAACCCCTCAATTCCAGGCACACTGGGATGGTTGGTCACTAGCTCATCTTCTAGCTTCATCTATCCCTTCTTCCCACACCCCTTTCCTCGACTCCTATCATCTTCCCAAATTGTAGGCAACTACACAGTATGTCTGTAGGAGAAAAAAACCCGGGTATTTAAAAGAATAAAGACTACATAGAGTAAAATGTTGCCTTTCTTTTCTGAGTCACTTAAATTTGTAGCAAATATTAAAGCATTTAAGGGGTGCCTGGGGGGCTCATCAGTTGAGCGTTTGGCTTTGGTTCGGGTCATGATCTCATGGTTCATGGGTTCAAACCCCGTGTCGGGCTCTGCACCGACAGCTCAGAGCCTGGAGCCTGCTTCAGATTCTGCGTCTCCCTCCCTCTCTCACAAATAAATAAATAAAACACTTAAAGCATTTCAGCAAAGCACTAAAGTTAATAATCAACATTTGGCATCTACTATTGTGAATGCATCCTAGCCTACACAGCATGCAAATTCCATGAAAAAACTTCCAGACCCAACATTCCAGGAAGCAGCAGGACCGCATGCTCTCCCTCTCCAGTCCGCTGATAATGCAAGTGGACACCATTCACAGCCACTTTGGCAGAGGTTACTGAGGTGCTGGAAGAGAAAAATCCCATCCCCAAAGAAAAATTACTTAGCACAAATGTTAATATGACAAAATCGTCCTTTTACATACCCGCGTCAGCTCCAGGACCCTCCTCAGGCTTCTTGGATTACTCTGATGTGTGCTTAAGTTTTTCCAACCTGAAAAGGGACCTTTCTAGACTGCATATCTGAACTGTGCCTTCATATGTGAATATCCTACAACACCAGCCCAGGACTTACCCTACAAAAGTACTGACATGTTGCTGCAACCAGTGGCCACACAGGTCCCATGGGCACATGCCTGGTGAGCTGGAAGCCAGGAGGCCAGTGTGCAGGCTGACACAGGAGCTCCACACAATGGAACATTAGGGTCAGCAACAACAGGGCAGACCTTAGAACAGATCTAAAGGGATTACCTGAACTTCAGCTGCATCGACAGAGTTCCTAAAGGTGAGATGGTCTCAGGGGTCCCCAGGCAGTCCTTTAGGAGTATGGCCTCTCATGTTCTCTAACCAGCCACAGAAGCATTCTTAGCAGGAATGCCTGTCTGCACTGCTATGGCCAGACCAGTTTTTAACATGTTGAAATATTTGTGTTGTTAAACAGCCAGGTCCATAAGCTTCCATCCCAAGAGCCCTCCCCTGTACCGTGGACCCTCCTTGGCCCAAAACCTCCGACACAGGATCTAACTGGACATGTTGGCACAGGAGTGCACCTTGGGCCAGAATCAAGGCCAGGGTCTGCTCTGACTCACATGTGTACCTTACCAAGGGTCCTTCTCTGAAGAAACTGTCCTCTCCTGCTCTTCCAGAAGCTCTAGAACGACTATGCAGGCATATATAGCAATAGAAGACATACATGGCTCCTACATCAGGCCCTAACAGCCTCCCCACCAATTTCCCAGACAGCTGAGTGACACACGGAAGGGACATTTTGGTATGCCAAGACAGATGCGAGAAGGAGGTGCTCCTCTTCTCCACACAGAATATTAAGGAATTTAAATTAACAGCTGCCTCTCTTTTTCTTTTACATACTCTTTACCCCTATTTCTGCAGTTAGTTAAAATGCTTATTGAAATGAAGCCCTTTTTACAAAATGAGGTGCTCTTTCCTCTTTGGGTTTCAGGTCATCGCCCATTTCAAATGAGCATGCAGAAACGGATGTGCTGAATGCAGGTACACCAAGTCTTAACACAACTTCTGCAAATACGACAGAATTGGGTGGTAATAAAGCCGGGACATAACCATAAGCTCATTACCTATAGGAAAATTATGAGGAGCAGTAACAAAGCCACTGAACAAGCGTGGTGGCATACTGACACTGCCATGTTACTTATCAATGTCCTATTCTTCTGAGTCATTCATTTTTACTGTTCAGATGGCTCTAGGATCCAGATAAAAGCAAATAACACTCTAGTAATAAAGATTCATTTCCACAAACATTTATTGACACATCTGTTTTGCCCACAATCTAGTAGGAGAGAAGATAAAAGACACAAGAGATTTGCTCTGCAATCTGTCGGGGAGGCGTAGGTTATGACTGAGACAAGAAGCATGAGGAGCCCGGTTGGAGCAAGTTATTAGTGTTTCCTATATTCACCACACAGGAATGAGGCAGCTCCCTAACTAGAGGTGACTAGCATTTGCATGGCTCATGTTAGTGATAACATGTACCTTTATTACACCTCATGCCCTAAAGATCTTTGAGGGTCTCCCTTCCTTGGCGGTATTCAAGAATGCTTGTAAGAATCATCTTGTGCCGTGAGGAGGTTATGCACAATATCTTTCTCAACGTCCAAGTTTTCATGGCTGGGTGTGCTCTCACTAGGTGCATCTGTTCAGGGGCCCCCACAAGGGCACTGCCTTCCAGGGGCTTCCTTTCCTTCAGCTTTCATGATCATTCTGAAGTCTCTTCTGCAAAAAACCTCTATATTCCCTTTGCATTTTGCTATACCTGTGTTTGGATTCCCTGTTCCAAACTTTTCCTCTTAATTAACCCCATCCCATCTTTTGGTTGCCTAAAATGAATGTAAAAACCATGTAGTCTAGATTTGGCATAATGGAACTCAATGTCAGGGAAGGGTTTACTAAGGCAGAAGATGGTTTTAGAAGGGAGACAGGGGCACCTGGGTGGCTCAGTTGGTTGAGCGTCCGACTTCGGCTCAGGTCATGATCTCGCTGTTCATGGGTTCAAGCCCCACGTCGGGCTCTGTGCTGACAGCTCAGAGCATGCAGCCTGTTTCAGATTCTGTCTCTCCTCTCTCTCTGCCTCTCCCCTGCTCATGCTCTGTCTCTCTCTCAAAAATAAACAAACATTAAAAAAAAAATTTAAAAAAAAAAAAAGAAGGGAGACAGAGACCATTATCAGGGTTGAGTAGAGGTATCTGAAGAGGAGTGAAAAAGTAGCATTTGAATTAACTTCCAAGAGGAGTAAAATTTTGAAAAAAAGAATGTGGTGGGGAGGGTGCTCCTAGAAGAAGAAATAGCATGATCAAAGGCCCGGAAGCAAGGGACATATGTCGGGGGAAAGGCAGTGTTCAGTCTGGCAGGGGTACGGGGGCAAAGAGTGAGCAAAGTTTGGGGCCAAATGCCAAGGGGGCTTGAAGCTAGGCTGAGGGGAAAGAAAATGCCCCTAGTGCCTTGTCATCAACATCCTGTATGTCACCACACCAGAGGTACATGCCACTATCATATCAGCCCACCCACTGGGGTTAATGGAGGCTGCCAAAAACCTTTCATCAATCTCCAGGTGGAGGAAACAGGGCAGAGAACTGTTTATGAATGAAAGTAAATCAAAGCAAATCAATTACAAATACAAGAAAAAGCATTTTATTAAAAAACAGAATTACTGATTTATTTTCACATAAATATAAGACCAATGAAATGAGTAAAGCATTTTTTCTCCAGCTTATCAAGGGGCTCTTGGACAGTAATTCAGGCCTCACGTTATGTGTGTTAAAAGAAAAATCAGGCTGCAGAGACCAGGCCTTTGATGGCCCTGAAATGTGCTTATTACTTGAACCACAATCAAACTCTCACATAGGAAAAAGGATACAAAACTTCAGAAAATTTATAAAGACCAAAAATGAATCTTTCAGGTGTCAATCCATCTTTACCACCACTTTCTCCCTAATAATCACGTTGCTTCTCTAACCCAGGTGCTCTTAAGCAGGTGTGCTCATTAGAATCACCTGTGGAGAGTTAAAACCATTAACTGTCTAGTGGGTGTCTCGGGTGGCTCAGTCAGCTGAACCTCTGACTTAGGCTCAGGTCATGATCTCACAGTTCAGGAATTCAAGCCCCCTGCTGTCAATGCAGAGCCCACTCTGGATCCTCTCTGCCCCTCACCTGCTTGCACTCTCTCAAAAAAATAAATAAAACATTTAAAATATATATATAAACTGCCTAGGACAATCCTGGGAGAGACTATCACTCAATGACTGGGGCAGAACCCTGACAGGTGCTTCCTTTTTCTATTATTTTTTTATTTTTATTTATTTTTTTAATGTTTATTTATTTTTGAGACAGAGAGAGACAGAGAATGGGGGAGGGTCAGAGAAAGAGGGAGACACAGAATCCGAAGCAGGCTCCAGGCTCTGAGCTGCCAGCACAGAGCCCGACGCAGCGCTCGAACTCACGGACCGTGAGATCATGACCTGAGCCGAAGTCAGATGCTCAACCCACTGAGCCACCCAGGCACCCCTCTATTATTTTTTTAAATATGAGAGGTTTCACAAATTTGCGTGTCATCGTTGCACAGGGGCCATGCTAATCTTCTGTGTATCAGTCCAATTTTAGTATGTGTGCTGCTGCAGTGAGCACACTGACATGTGCTTTCAATAACACCAAAACTCTACTGTACTATTTATTCATTCATTCATGTACTTCCTAAACTCCTATTGCTTTGGGCCCTCCATGTAGTTTAGAGGCTGGCAGGAAAGACAGATAATTAAATCTGCAACTAGCAGGTACTATGCAGTTTGCCTAGTATTATGACAGAGAAGTTGGGGGGATACAGGAGATCCTGAGGGTGCAGACATCAGACACTAAGTTCCCCACACCTTAACCGACATCTACACAGCTGCTAATCAGCCCCTTTTTATGAGAATATTTCCAACTTCCCACTATATCAGTGAGGGTCAAACTTAGATTTGCATCATCTGGCAAATTTAAATCTCCAGATGCCCAGACTGTACTAAATCAAAATCTCTGTGGTGGGATACAAGCATCTGTGTTTTTTTTTTAATTTCCCAAGAGATTCCAATAAGCAACCAAGGCTGAGAACAACTATACTGAGTTAATTTCTTGTAGAAGGAAAAAAAAATTCCTATCTCCCTATTGAAAACAGCCTATATAGGAAGGCACGCTCACCTAGAATAGCCTATATCTTACCTCATATTTGTCCTTGACTCTCTTTTTCTGGGTGGCTGGATAGGCAATTTTGTGAAAGGGTTAGAAGGAGGTCAGGAGCAATACAACACAATATCTTCCGACTGAGGGGGCTTGAGCTGCTCCCTTCAAAGAAGGAAAGTTTACTGTGGTGGAAAGCAAGAATTTAACAGCTTGCAGAAAATAAACTAAAACTCACATTTAGTTTCATTATTAAGCTAAATAATGAACTCTACTAGAGCTTACATTATATTTACCCTAATTTTACCTTTGAGGAACCTGAAGATTGGAGTGTTTAGACAACTTGCCCCAGTCACATTACTAGTTATTTATACCTGAGTGTATGACATCAGAGACTTTGGTATTTTGCCCTTCGCTTAGAAATAAAAATGGGGTAGGGAGACCTGGGTGGCTCAATCGGCTAAACATCTGACTTCAGCTCAAGTCATGATCTCACAGTTTGTGAGTCTGAGCCCCACATCAGGCTCTGTGCTGACAGCTTGGAGCCTGGAGCTTACTTCGGATTCTGTGTCTCCCTCTCTCTCTGCCCCCGCCCTCCGTCTCTCAAAAAAATAAATAAATGTTATAAAAATTAAAAAAAAAAAAGAAAAATGGGGTCAATTAATAAAACACATCCTCGTTTTGAAAGTCCTACACATTCTCTGTATCTCTTATGTTCGGCTATTTCTGTTGTATATTTTTTCCAAAGTAACCATTAGCTCTAATAAAGTATTAGCTACCCCCTAGGGCTTGGAATTAAATGAATTTTGAGGACTTATTTTGCATCTTTTACACACTGCATTATTAGATTTTCTTATCTGTATCATTACTAATTGTAGCTACTATTTAGTGAATTATTATTATATCCCAGGACTTGTACATTTATTGTCTCAAATCCTCAGAAGTGCAAGGCACTTGGCTCGGAGAGGTTAAGTAACTTGCTTACATTTGTGCAGCTAGGAAGTAGCAATGCAGCCTTGTAAACACCAGAGGCCTTGTTTTTTCTGTAACCTGGAAGCTGAACAAAGTCCCCAACAGGGCTCTAGCCCTGGGGCCACTCACCCAGACTGCCAGACAGAAGGAACAAGGCAGTGCCAGGGAAAGGAGCGTCTTTGATTCTCAGGCAGATCATCCCAAGGTTGAACTCAGAAAACAGTTTTCTTCCGACAGCTTGTTAGGTTCTATAAATTACTAATACTGTAACTGTATGTGACATACAACTGCAGGTAGAAAAGCCTTCTTACCCGGTCCTGGAACAAACCACTTTACAGACTACAAAATAAAAAAGAGAGTTCCAAACAACAGACTTACAAAAACAAGCTTTTGGAACACAACTCAAGTGTAGGTTGGGCACCAGCTGTTCTGAGGCAAAGGTTTTAAAAGCAGCTCTTTCACCTGCTTACATTGGGCTGCAGCCTCATTTCAGGATTAACGAATACCACTACTGGTTTTCTCTGATTACATGTAATGTCAACTTGCAAATGCATTTATGAAATGGCAGTTTGAAATCCAGAGAAACCGGTTTTTCAGAGATGTTTTAGGAAGAACGATTTACATTAAATGGATGGGGCCTTCCTGCAACCATGAAATAACCTATCTTAACTTGGGTACTGGCACATAGTAACCTTATTTCAATCTCTTTCTGCAAATTGGAAACTGGATAAATATCCATTTTTCCATGTAGATTTATACAGCTGTGAACATTGACATATTTTTCCATCTGTATTAAAATAGTCCCAAAAGTCTTCTAAAAGTTCTTAAATATTTAAAAAGAATTTAAATAAATCAAATATGAAACTCAAGAACTAGTTAATCACAACATAAAAATTTAAAGCTGGTCAGATTTTTCCCTTCTCCTTCCAAATCAAACTTTCAAATGAGAAGTTTCCACATTAGATCAATCAACTCAAATTCTAAATTTTTTTTAACCTTTATTCATTTTTGAGAGACAGGGTGCAAGCAGGGGTGGGGCAGAGACAGATGGAGACACAGAATCCAAAGCAGGCTCCAGGCTCTGAGCTGTCAGCACAGGGCCCAATGTGGGGCTCGAACTCACAAACCGTGAGATCATAACCTGAGCCTAAGTCAGTTGCTTAACCATCTGAACCACCCAGGCGCCCCAGATCAACTCAAATTCTGAATGCCAGGTATCCATCTAGCATTTGACTTTTCCTATAAATGGAACTGATCCATCAGCAGTTAATTGCATATATATCCTGTGTACATTTGTGTACAGGTAGAGAGAATAAAGTAAAGCAAGTTTCATGCTGCTCTAACTACATTTCTGCTTAGTATCTCTTGGGGCCAAGGGCACCCATTTTTAAGACAGGTCAGACATTTAAAAAAGGGGGAGGGCGCCTGGATAGCTCAGTTCGTTAAGCCTGGGGCTCTTGGTTTTGGCTCAGGTCATGATCTCATAGTTGTGGGGTCCAGCCCCAAGTGGGGCTCTGCACTGAGCGTGGAGCCTGCTTGGGATTCCCTCTCTCCCTTAAAATAAATAAATAAAATAAATAAATAAACATTAAAAAAAAAAAGACGGTAGGTCAGAGATTAATCTAGCTGTTTTTGTTGTTTTATCTCGAAATATGCATGAGGGATAGGGAGGGTCAGAAAAGAAAAAGGCAGATTCTTGGCTTTCTCCACCTACACCATAAGCTCTGAGAGTCAGGCCAAGGATTGTGAATTTTCCCAGGTTCCCAAGGTGTTTTGCACATTACAGTTCAAAATAAGGCGGGAAAAAGAAAAAGAAAAAAGAAGGAGAACAAGAAGGTGACAACGATGACTCAGGGGCTTGGGCCTGACTACAACAGCTCATAGGTTAAGGAGATTCTCAGGCTGGTTTTTGATATAAGAAGCAGGAGACACTGGAGCCCTGAGGGTGTGAAGACACAGGGCAGAGCAGCCAACTAAGAATGAAGGGTTTGAGATTCTAATCTCGGTCATGAGTGTGTAACTATGGGCAAATTACGTTACCTCCCTGGGTCTCTCGTCTCCACAATGAGGGGCTTGGACTCCATCACCCAAGTCCTTTAGGGCTCTCGAGTCACAGAACTGAAGCCGACGCACGGCTGCAGTGCCAAGGCCAGGAGCAGCAGAAGTGGTTACTTCCACCGCCTCCCGCGCACCCACGTGGGACAGGCTCCGGTCTTGGAGCAAAGGGCGAGAGGGCAGCGAGGCTGCGCCCACGGCAGCAACCCGCACCGCCCTGCCCGCCCGCCTCCTGGCTGGCGCGTTGCCCTCCCACTGCCCCCCAGCACGCAACCCTGGCCGCAGGGGCCCCCGGAGGGAAGCGGGAATCATTACCCGAATGCGGCTGCAGGCCCAGCATACGGGACGTAGTTCCCTGGCTTCAGCACCGACAGGAGTAGCCGCACCTGCCGCACTGCGCGGCCGCCCAGCACTTCAGCCATGGTCACAGGTTTCGCTGAGCCCCGGAGCGCGCATGCGCCCGCTCCACCGACCGCCCCGCGTCCACCCCGCGCCCCCCCACCCGCACCGCCTGAGAACAAGCCTGCGCCCCGCCCCACTACGTCCCGCTACGCCCCGTCGCCAGGAAACATGCAAGCGCCAAGGTCTAGCAGCCGCCCTCAACACCCTCCGCCTTGCCCCGACAGAACCCCGCTGCTCCTGAACTTCCGGCCAGAGCCTATCGCCCGCTTCGGCTTGTCGCGCCGGGATGCTAGGACCCGTAGCCCGCCGGGCTCTTTGTGACCCTTGTCAGAAACGGGGCTCGAAGTCCCAGTGGTACCGCAACACAGATCGTCTGCTCTCGGGGTGCCAGCTCTGGCTCACGAGGGGTACGTCCCAGTCAGCTTTGCCCTCCCACCGCCGCGGTGACCAGTCCCTCCAGAGAGGCGAGGCTGCACCCCTCCCCCATTCCGCCCTTCTCAGGGAGTGGGTGGTGAGGAGGGACCTGAGGAGGGACCTGTGGACGGACCTGTGGACGGAGAAGGAGGCTTCAAGGCTGGCTGCCGTCGGTGGAGTGAAATGCATTTGCTTCTAGGAATGATAGCATTATTTTTTTTCCCTTCATATTATCTCATACTCATTGTTTGGTATGGCTATTGTAAAAAAAAAAAAAATAGTGTTGGTGAGTATGTGGAGAAATTGGAACCCTGTACGCTGCTGGGAATACAAAATAGTGCAGTGGTGGTGGAAAATAGCATGGCGGGTGCTCAAAAAAATTAAACGTACAATTATATGATCTAGCAATTCCACCTGTGGGTATATACCCCCAAAGAATTGATAAGTGTCTCAAAGATATTTATGGTCATAGCATTATTCACAATAGCCAAAGTGGAAAATTGGAAAGCAACCCATATGTCAATGGAGGGATGAAGGTTTAAACCTGTGTATACCACGTAATGGAATGTTGTTCTTTAAAGAAGATGGAGGGACGCCTGGATGGCTCATTTGGGTAAGCCACCAACTGTGGCTCAGGTCCCGATCTCAGGGTTTGTGAGTTCCAGCCCCACATGGGCTCTGTGCTGTCACGTCAGAACCTGGAGCCTGCTTCAGATTCTGTCTCCTTTCCTCTCTGCCCTCCCCTCCCCCTTTCAAAAATAAACGTTCAAAGATTTAAAAAAAAAAAAAAAGGATGGAAATTCTGACACATGCCATAATATGAACTTTGAGACATTATGTAACATGTTATGGCCATGGGGGTTCTGATACCTGCAGTATCCTCACTGGCCCATTTGAGTTTCTTGGGCAAAAATTTTCTTTCAACATAAATCTACTACATCAATTTCCTGTATAGAAGGAAAGAGAAATACAGTTCAGCTGTTATCATCTGACTTTCAGAAATCTTTGGTGAGTCAACGTTTCCTTATTTTTTCCTGAGAGGTTGACTGGGCTTTATCAGAGATCATGAGAGTTAAAAATAGTTGTCTGTACAATTTTTAATACATTATCCCACTGATAAATCAGCAAAAATGGTAGCACTGTGAAAAATGGTAGATTTAGGTTATTGGTTACAATTTATTTTTAAGTGTACACTTGAGAACTAGTCCTTTATGTATAACACTATTGTGCAGTTTTGATTAAAGAGTAACTTTGTGCCAGGCACCTTATGATGCATTATTTTAATCCTCACATCAACCTTATTGGCCTATTTATAAAATGAGGAAACTGAGATTAAGAGAGGTTAGGAAGCTGGCCCTGAGTACATAGCTAGAGTACAGAGGAGAATTTAAGCCTGCTTGGTTTCAGAACCTGTATTTGGATTGTTATGTGTTGTGGAATTCACTGTAACAGCATTAGGACTTCAATGATTTCTTTGTAACCAGATGCTTCTTTGGGGGTGCCTGGCAAGCTCAGTGGGTAGAGCCTGAGACTCTTGGTCCCTTGATCTAGGAGTCAGGAGTTCAAGATCCAGGTTGGATTACTTTAAAAATAATAATACAAAAAGTAAAAATAAAATATAAAAACACTTTCAGATGCTTCTAAGATCTTGAACATATAAATACCTAGTGTTTTGTTTTGCTTTGTTTCACTTCAGTCCTTTTCAGTGAAATTGCACTTTAACCCTAGCTGATCGCAATGGGTAAAACCATCAGTATTTCACTTCTTACTCCTCCTAAAAAATTAAAACCAATGGGCCAAATAAAGTAAATTTAAAAATTAAACCATGATTTTGTATTAAATTCAGTTTTGGCGGTTAGTAGATATTTTTTATCCTACAACAGATGTGACAAAAAGAATTGATCTCATTGACATGGTTACCCTTGTATCGAGAGAAATTAGAATTAATATCATCTACTTTTGCACATTGTGGCAAGGAAATTTTTACCATTCATAAAGTCAGCTTGAGCTTGTTTTCCACTGTAGTGTCACAGCCCACTTTTTTTTTCATGTTTATTCATTTTTGAGAGAGAGAGAGAGCGAGCGCATAAACAGGGGAGGGGCAGAGAGTGAGACACAGAATCCGAAGCAGGCTCCAGGCTCTGAGCTGTCAGCACAGAGTGCGACGCAGGGCTGGAACTGGCAGACCGTGAGATCATGACCTGAGTCAAAGTCGGATGCTCAACTGACTGAGCCACCCAGGTGCCCCGTCACAGCCCACTTCTGATGGAAAACACTTTTATCTGAAATTGGCTAAGCCATTTATCTTAGTAAACACCTAGTTTTATTTATATTATTATTAAAAAAACTTTTAGAAGTAGTGCACATTAAAATGTACATCAGGGGCGCCTGGGTGGCGCAGTCGGTTAAGCGTCCGACTTCAGCCAGGTCACGATCTCGCGGTCCGTGAGTTCGAGCCCTGCGTCAGGCTCTGGGCTGATGGCTCGGAGCCTGGAGCCTGTTTCCGATTCTGTGTCTCCCTCTCTCTCTGCCCCTCCCCCGTTCATGCTCTGTCTCTCTCTGTCCCAAAAATAAATTAAAAACGTTGAAAAAAAATTAAAAAAATAAATAAATAAAATGTACATCAAAATACTATTTAAACCATTTTCTGAGAAAGAAAGAACTATTCCTGAAGACCTAATTTCATTTTATGGAGCCGAAACAAATACTGAAACCACAGCAACAAGTGGAAAATATACTGATATCACAAAGCTGTGAGAGCTGGAGGTGTTATTTACCAGTAGTAACCTTAGGGTCTGAATATCTTTTTTGGAACAAAGGTATGGATAGGCTTCTCTCTCATCTTGTAGTCTGTGTCATCTCACTTAATTGATTTTCTACCCAATTGATTTTCTTGTATTGAAACTCCTTAGATACAAATTTGGCTCTTTTCAGCCCAGTTTTGACAGAGTGGGGGCTGGAGGAAGGACTTCTGAATCATGTTTGAAGGCCAGCAATGCTGCAGGCTCTCAAGGCAGCAAGTTTTCATCCTGAGAGACAAATAGCGCTGTCCAGAAGCTTCCCCTTTATACCATCACTTCCTCTTGCCTGCTAATAGCGGGAGGGTGAAAAGGAGAGTTCATACAGGAAATGTCAACCTTCATGGAGAAGCCCAAACAGTTTCGTTTACAAACACATCATTTCAATTACTTATATTTGAGGTACAAAATTTTATTTTTAGAAGGCCATTAAAAATACATTCCATTTTTGCCTCTTAAAACATTGATCATTCAATCTCTTGGGAATTTAGAGAATTTAAATACTGTTAGAGGACAGAGGTACAAGGGATACATTTAGAAAAGCAATGATCCACCTCCACCCTCACCCCCACCCCAGCAAAGCCTGGGACTCTTTCCCCGTTCAATTTTCCTTTTGGTCTATGTGATCGAATGCTATGTGGCAACTAATAGTGAGCCTGGATATCTGTGGATAAGGGGCTGAGGTTCATTACTTTATGGCACTGCTCTTCTCAACCGGGGGCGGTTTTGCACTTCCAGGGAACATGTATGTGGCAGTGTCTTGTCACAACTGAAGATAGAGTAGGGGAGAACAGCACTATTGGCTTCTAGCAGGTAGAGGGCACTTTCAAACATCCAAATCCTCCAATGCACAGGGCAGCCCCCACAAGAAAGAATTACCTGGCCCAAGATCCCAATAGTGCAGAAGTTGAGAAATCCTGTTTTACAGTCCCACCTCAGGGGTGTGTGTGTGTATGTATATCATTTAGGGCCAGAGGGGATTTAGAACCAGAACCACAATACTGTTATCAATCACCAGTTCCTAGAATCTGTTCTGACAGCCGGAGTCACCATGCTGCATCCTTCTCTCCCTCCTGGAAGGGCTAAGCACAATGACATACCCTCTCTGTTTATCAAAGTGCAGACAGTGATACTGGATGGCCTGCCTGGCTTCAGTCTTCTGGTCTTCTGGTTCCTTCACTCATTCCTGAGTTTCAGGAGGACTTTGAATGATGCTAGCTAAAGGCACAGTGACCAAGCTTTGAAGCAGTCCTTTTTTGACATCACAGTTCACACACACACAAAAAGAAGAAATTTCTACAGAATCCTGGGGTAAACTGAGGAAGCTGCTCAACAGTGATCAGCCCCAAAGCTCCAGTCAGAGCATACATGCTCCCTCTTCAGGGCAGAGTTTGGGAAAATACATAAGGTATCAGAATGCTAGGAAAGAACTTAAAAACTTAGTCAAAAATTTTTGTAGTTAACCACAATTAACAGCAATTCCTTGCAACAAATGGAAAATTCTGATATTTTTGTTCTCTATTTTTTTTTCTCCTTACTCCTTAAAATCCATTCAGCTAATTTATGGAGTGGTGATTGCATGTAATTTTTAAAGCCTGTAGTGACTGATACAACATTTGATACTGAAGTTAACAGACCTTATAGCTTTGGAATGAACTGTAGTTTTAATAAAAAAAAAAAAAACTATTTGAAGAGAACTCGCAATTTCACTGTACTCTGGTTATAATTGGAGCCTACATGGAGAAGAGAGCATAAGGTAAGAAAGTTGACTTAGTTTACATTTCTCTGAATTTGCTTTTCCTTCTCAAACAAAACTCCAGGAAATGAAATGAATAGCATCACTGAAGGTTATGGAATATACTGAAAGAAAATTATCTTCCTCAAATACCTCTCCTCTCCCTTTCAAAACCCAATTAGGCTTTTGGGGGGGGGGGCGGGGCTTGACCATTAATAGGTCTTCCTGGTTAGTGGGTTGTTTGCTGTAGATTTCTTTCCCATGCTCCAGCTATGGGATGCAGGAGAATTTTATGCAGACATAGAACCTCTATCAGGAAGGAAAGAATTCTGAACATTCTGAGGCAGCACATTTTCACTGTGTTACTAAGTGAGATTACCTTATGCTGCCAAAGCCTTTTCTGGAATTAGCTCTGGCTGATGTGTATCAAATAATTCAGAAGGTCTATTCTTGAACACTGGTAGAGTGCATAGGCCAGCTTTCCTACTGTGGCTCCCTTACTGCCTTCTCTCATCAGCCACTTTTGGAGCATCTGGTAAACCTTTTCTTTTAGTCCATCTCGCTCATAGTCATGGTCAATTTCATCAATCTGAGATTCAGTGAAGCCCAGCTTACGTGCACAGTTTTTCCATTGCCTTCCCAGATTTTCCCTGACTGGGTCCAGATGTTTATCAGTCAGACTAGTGATATTATCTGCCAAACAGAAAAGAGAAGAAGACATAAAGCTTTAACCCATTTGGAACATTCTAGCTTCAAAAACCTGTAGAAAGAGTCCCAGGAGACAGTAAAAAAAAAAGATAACTTCTAAATTATATACTTATTGACTCATTGGGTGATGCTTTCCATGTCTGGAAGCCTATTTGGAGTGTTGATATGAATACAATAGAGAACCCCTTCCTCATAGCACATGCAACACTGAGCCACAGCTGATGGCTTTGGGAATGAAACCCCTGCTTGGCTACTAGGCTATAATATACAACTTTAGCCAGCGGCCATATTAATATCAGACCTTCCTGATGTAACGAGGGAAAACACCACTTTTGTTCCTTTTGGCATTTTCCACTTACATTTGGCCAGAATTAAGGTCATTCAACTCCTAATCCCCTGCACCCAACAGTTAACTTTTCTCTTATTAAGGAGACAGACCATCAAGTGTGAATTCGTTCAATTACAGTGACTTCCCTCGTCTTTTAAGGAATGAGGGATCTACTTTTCAAGGTCTATTTTGGGACTCATTTCTCCTCTACCCTAAGTCTGTCTTCTCTTCTACAGCCACAACCTCTATTTCTACTCATTCTTTCTCCTTGTCCTTCATAAAAATAACAAAAGGAGGCTAAAATATAAAATAACCACCACACACATTTTCCTTGATCCACACCCTACCTCAAAAAGCTGAACATAAGGGAAAAGACATCTCATTTTTTTACCCCTCAACTCCCGTTCTTTCCTCAGCTTCCCACAATGCAGCTTCTGTCATCATCCCTGGACATCAGCAGTCCAAAACCTCCCAAGATATTTGTCAAATTTTGTCAATACCTCTCTGGGAGAGGGATCCTGGGTTTCATCAGATTCTCAAAGGTACCTCTGTCAGCCCAAAAGTTAGGAACCTCCTATTATTAGAGCACAGCCATACCTGTTTGTGTACATATTATCTGTGGCTGCTATTGTACTACAGTGTCACTTGAGTAGTTGCAAAAGAGACCTCAGGACCAGTGAAGCCTAAAATATTTACTATCTATCCCTTGATAGAAAAGTTTTGCCAATCCTAGAGTTAATCATTAAGCTAGGTTCTTAAATCCCATTGTTTTAGCCTTGTGACTCCTTTTCCCAGGTTGTGTTTTGGGATTAATATTATGAGCCTGCATAGTGGAAAGCTGTAAGAGAAAGCCCTATTATTTTTATTACAGAGGTGCTATTGAAGGCATAGTCTTCTTTCTTTTACAGAATCCCTCTTGATGAAGACCTGAAGGAGCTATCTCTCCTAGGTCTGAGTAGTAATATTGATGATGATGTATTTAACACTTGACCTAACTATGTGCCAGGCAGTGTTCTAAGCTATTTATCCATATTGACTCATTTAATTTTCATAACAAATCCATGAGTTAGATATTGTAATCATCCCCATATTAAATATAAATAAATCACAAAGGAATTATATGGAAATTACAGAGAAAACACGGGGCAATTTTCAGAGAGAATAATCAGAGAAATTTCCGGATTCCATTAGATCCTTCTAAACAAGGAAGAAAGTTCAAGGTTGCTAGGCAATGGATCCTTAAGGGCATCTTACCAAAGATATCTTGGTACTTAGAAGCTGGCTCTTCTTTCAAGTTCACGTGTGTGCTTTCCAGTAGTGTTGAATTCAATCCCCCAATCTCCATATAATTATGGTCTCCAACCTGAATGCCAGCGCTGTTGTATATGTTACATTTTATAGACTCATCTGAATAGAGAGGAATATACAGGTAAGTATATCTAGATTGAAAGCAAGAGAGGGGCACCTGAGTGGTTGGTTGGTTAAGTGTCAGACTTCAGCTCTGATTGTGATCTCACAGTTCATGAGTTCGAGCCCTGCATTGGGCTGTCTACAGTCAGAGCCCACTTCAGATTCTCTGCCCCAGCCCTCTCTCTGCCCCTCCCCCACTCAGGTGCATGCGCTCTCTCTCTCTCTCCTTCTCTCAAAAATAAATAAACATTTAAAAAAAAGCAAGAGAAATAGATACAATATGGTAAGAGCGCAGGGCTTTACTCCAGATGTGTAAGTTATTTATCCTATGCCACTCTTTGAAATTTTCTTCTTTAAAATGTAGCTGAACCAACCTCACATCCATCAGAATGGCTACTATTAACAAAAACAAAAAACAGAAAATAACAAGTGTTTATAAGGATGTGGATGAACTGGAACCCTGGTGTACTGCTGGTGGGAATATAAAATCGTGTAGCCACTGTGGTAAACAGTATGGAGGTTCTTCAAAAATTAAAAACAGAATTACTCTATGATCCAGCAATTTCACTTCTGGGAGTATACCCAAAGGAATCGAAAGCAGGGCCTCAAAGAGATGTTTGCACACTCATGTTTATAGCAGCCACTCAAGTGTCTGTCAACAGATGAACAAATAAACAAAATGGGTTATATACAGACAATGGAATATTATTCAGCCTTAAAAAGGAAGGAAGTTCTGTCACAGGTTACAACATGGATGAACCTTTAGGACATTGTGCTAAGTGAAGTAAGGCAGTCACAAAAGGACAAATACTGTATGATTCCATTTATATGAAGTACCTAGAGTGGTTAAGTTCATAGAGAAAGAAAGTAGAATGGTGGGTGCCAGAGGCTGGGTGGGAGGGAATGGGGAGTTAGTGCCTGATGAGTACAGAGTTTCAGTTTGGGAAGATGAAAAGAGTTGTGGAGATAAATGGTGGTGATGGTAGCCCAACACTATGGTTTTCACCACAAATGGTTGTCTTTGGCCTATATAAGATAAGAAATAAAAATATCTAAGACTTCTGGGGCGCCTGGGTGGCGCAGTCGGTTAAGCGTCCGACTTCAGCCAGGTTACGATCTCGCAGTCCGCGAGTTCGAGCCCCGCGTCGGGCTCTGGGCTGATGGCTCGGAGCCTGGAGCCTGTTTCCGATTCTGTGTCTCCCTCTCTCTCTGCCCCTCGCCCGTTCATGCTCTGTCTCTCTCTGTCCCAAAAATAAATAAACATTGAAAAAAAAAATTAAAAAAAAAAATCTAAGACTTCTTACCTTCAGAAAACAGCAAGCAAGAAAAAGAACACAAGCAGTGACCTTCACTTCCATCAGGGATTAGGATAATGGGACCACTGTGATGAATGTTAGAGCAGAAGATGCCTACCAGTTATCAGGACCTGTAACCCAACACCTGTGGGCAGGTGCAATGAGTTCTACCCAGACTGAGGTCAAGTGGTCTGATGGAGACTATTCCATGGCTACAAACTGCATTTGGCAACTGAAGACTGCAAACAACTCACCCTTGTTACCTGGTAGTCTACAACAGAGCTAATGGCTGCTTTATTTTCAGAAATTTTAATTGTTTAGATTGTAACTGAAAAAACTGTTTACCTCTTGATGGCAAAGAGCTGAATGGGATGGTGGGTGTGTTTCCCAGTAGGTTGGTCTCAGGCACCGGAGTTTTATGCACACTTGGCATATGGCTTGGATTTGGTCCATACCAAACTCTTGGACTTGGTGTTCCCAGATCCAACGGTCTTGCTCCCAAACCATACAGATTGTACAATCCATTGTTCCAGTATAGTACTTGAGGTTGGCTGGTTAGCCCTGTTGGTTGGTGTACTGCATTACCATGACCGGTTGCACTGGAATAAGGAATGCCTTTTACTCCTGGGTTCTGAACATTCTCATAGGGTTTCTGCTGTGCAAACGGGTCATGGGAGACCCTTCGTCTCCTTTCCTCCTCTCTATTATAAACCATATTCTGTCTGAGTGGCTTTGTCTGCCTGTCCATGCGGCTGCCATAAAGATGGTAGTTGGCTTCCTCCTGGAGTTTACTCTGCAAGCTGAGCTCATTCTCCTCCTGCTGGTACTCTACGGAGGGAGCAAACCAGGATTCCTCCACAGGGCCCATCCCAAGTCCTTGTGAACTGTGCAGAGAACTGGGCTGTTCTGGGGCTGAGAACAAAAGATCAACATTGGAAAGAGTTTCATAAAGCAGTAAGAAGTAAAATAAAACCTGAGCACCATCATAAATATGTACCTCAGAACATACTGAAAACTTTGAGAACAAATCAAAAAGCATTTACTTGATGGTCCTCTTCCTACAAGTTATATAGGTAATAAAATGAAGCCACTGCCTGGTGGTGAGAGAGCACTAGAGAAATTTTAACAAGCAACAGAAATATGAGTGTCACAGGAATGACCAAGGAAGAAAGGGACTTGTATTGCAACAGAGAAGGTGGGTGTCTCCTTGGTATGAGGCAGGGCTGGACAAAAGGAATAGTAATGGCTTGGTGCTAAGCACTTTCCATGGATTCTTTTATTCTGTAAAAGCCCTGTAAGAATAGGAGCAATTATTATCATGATTTGATGGATGAAGTTTACAAGAGGTTAACTTGCCCCAGAATAGATAGCAATTAAGTGGTTTCAATATCCTATTGTCTGTTTTCCCTTTTGTTATAATGGAAAAAAGTACCCTCCTTGAATCTGAGACCAACCTCTCTGCTTTTCTCTGAATACATCATCCCTGACCTTCTCAAGGACTATGCTTCCACATATGTCCTCTCTTTGTCCTGATGTCACTTTCTCCCTATCAGATATATGTTCAAGATGCTTTATGATTTTGGTGAACGCAAGGTTGCTTACTATTTCAAATATATGTATTTTCCCTCCCAAATATATTATAAATTCCCTTATGGCAGGGGTTAAATATTATAGTGTCTTCTGTTTCTTATACGGTCATGAATAGTTACTTTAGAAAATAGAGTGAATGAATGAATGAATGACTGAATAAAGTACTTTCAATCATAGTATGTTACCTGAATTTGACCTGCTTGGAGGTATTGCTATACAGTCAATCTGGAGAGAATGCATTCTCTTCACAAATGAATTTTGGTCTGGATACTCTTTCTATAATTAAGAGCGTAAATGCACACTTTAGTAAACAGTAGAAAATAGTTCCAGAAAATTATTATAAGAAAAATGAGTCTTTTCAAACGGTAGAAATTTCATATAGCTCTTACAAGGAATAAATATTTTTTAAAAATAAGCTTTTTTCCCAAATAGCCATAAAATCTTAAAAAAAAAGAAGAACAAATTTGGAAGGTTCACACTTCCTGATTTCAAAACTCACTACAAGACTACAGGAATCAAAACAATGTGGCATTTGAGACACCTGGGTGGCTCAGTCGGTTAAGCATCCAACTTCAGCTCAGGTCATGATCCCACTGTCCGTGGGTTCAAGCCCCGCATTGGGCTCTGTGCTAACAGCCCAGAGCCTGGTACCTGCTTCAGATTGTGTCTCCCTCTCTCTCTCTCTGCCCCTCCCCTGCTCACGCTGTCTCTCTCTCAAAAATAAACATTAAAAAAATTTTTTAATAAAAAAAATGTGCTATTAGCCTAAGGATAAGCATAGACCAATGGAATATAACAGAGAGCCCAGAAATAAACCCTTGTATGAGCAATTGATTTTCACAAAGGGTGCTAAGACCATTCAATGGGGGAACACTGGATATTGACTCTCTTAATTTATCTTTATCTTAAAACCTCCTTATGCCTGCCTATTTTCTTTACTGTAGTCTTGCCTTCATGATTATAGTATGTTGCTGTAAGACTTATGCTAGCAGCTTATTTCCTGAGGGTGTGTATGTAGGGAAGGTCTTTGTTTCCCCTGGTTACTTGTTGGTAACAATCCTTGTCATAGCCCAGACACCAAATTCATTGCTTCAGGTTGAAGTGGATGCTCCTCCTTTGCTTAGCTCCTTTGCTTAGCTGCTCCTTTGCTTATCAGGGGGAGGAGCCAACTTTTGAAACTGCAACAACCTGGTTCCCAAGTAAAGATCTCATCGTTGATGTCCCAGGTGACCGTGCTGTTTCTTCGGTACATTGACACAAGGCTCGCTCCTCCACTACTTTTTCAGCATTATGTTTAGGGGTAGTGTTTTTTTTGTTTTGTTTTGTTTTGTTTTTTCTGTTGTATGTCTTAGCAAATTTAATTCTGTTGGCTTTCTATCTTTCAAGAATTCCTCAGAACGACTGATCCACCTGTGTGGTACTTTCCATTCTATTCCAGTGATGCTGTGTTTTTGTTTTCATATTGCTATATATAATTTCTCTCATTTCATTAGTTTCGATGGAGGAATGGGTCCAGTATGCCAACTTGATGATATCTGTATAAAATTGCTAATTTTGTTTCATGTGATTACTAAGCTAGCCTACTTCAAATCTTAGTAACAAGTTATATTGCTTTGGATTTCAAGATTGACAATATATATGCTTTGATAGGTTAATGTTTTGAGCATTACCTACCTTTAAACTTGTCACATCCTCTTCTACATTTTCTTCTAATTGATCTACATAAAAAGGCCTAAATTTTTCTTCAATACCTATATAAAGAAATAATACTATAAATTTCTTAAGTATTTTCTAAAGTAATAACCATATGCGAAATAACCGCTTGAGCTAACGCCAACCCTAAAGTAAAATTTGAGTATTAGTAATCTATTATCTTTCAATTACTTATCTTAATCTGTGGACAAAGCAGTAAAATAAAAATTTAAATGCCAAATCTCTGACTTACCCAAAGAGACTAGCAAGACTAATAACTAGGTGGAAGAAGAAGGAACAGGGTAACACGAGAAACCAAGGGCTATTGGGGTGCCTGGGTGGCTCAGTTGGTTGAGCGTCTGACTTCAGCTCAGGTCATGATCTCCCAGTTTGTGAGTTCGAGCCCCGCATCAGGCTCTGTACTAACAGCACAGAACCTGGAGCCTGCTTTTGATTCTGTGTCTCCCTCTCTCTCTGTCCCTCCCCCTCTCATGCTCTGTCACTCCCATCTCAAAAATAAATAAACATTAAAAAAAATTTTTTTTAAATAAACAACAAAAAAAAGAAACCAAGGGCTATTGTCTAATAGCATGTTTCTCTCACTGCAGCACAAAGCCCTATCTAGTATAAATTAATCTCCAAGTGAACAAGGATGGGTGGACTCCTTGTTTCTGTCTCCCTGGTATCAGAATTCTAGGATGGGGCACCTGGGTGGCTCAGTCAGTTAAGCATTCGATTCATGATTTCAGCTCAGGTCACGATCTCATGGTTCATGGATCTGAGCCCCACATCAGGCTCCACACTGACGGCATGGAACCTGCTTGAGATTCTCTCTCCCTCTGTCTCTGCCTCTCCCCTGCTGACATTCTCTCAAAATAAATACACTTAAAAAAATTATTATAGGATAGAATACTCAGAATAGTGATTTGATATAAAAAGCTAAAGGCTGTCAGCCTTAAAAGAAAAAGGCAACTTTCACTTCCAGGAAGATGGAGTAGGCATACTTTTCCTTATTTCTCCCTCTAAGCACAAGAACCCCTAGATATCACATATAAAACAAACATAAAAAGAGTCTGAAAGAAGGAAAGACAAAGGCTGACAAACTAGGGACTTTGGGATCTGAGGAAAGACATGACAATGTGCTCATTTAGGATTTCTTTTTGCCTCTTAGATCCCAGACTTGGGCTTAAAGAAGCTGGCAACCCAACGGGGAAAAAAAAATCCTAATTAAATAAAGCCTGATCCTTTGAGCCAAAGGACTAAGCAAAGAGCATCCTAGAAAGACAAAAGACCTTTAGTCAATAACCACTCTCCAGGCAAACATCACAGAAAATACTGTAGCTCCATTCCCAACCTCACCAGCAAAGGCCAGGTAGGTAGCTGAGACTTCCAACCTCATGAGACAGTAACAGGGTATACCAACACCCCTACCGGGGTGATGTCAGAGCAGGCCAAAAAGGAAGCCAGGACTTTCCTTCTTGCCAGATGGTAATGAGCACTCCACTCAGTGGTGTCAATGGACTACCAGGGCAGACTGGACTTGCACCCTTACTTTGTAGTTGTAAGGTGCCCCTATTCATTCCAATGGAGAAGTGTCAGAAAAGGGCTAGTGGGAGTCAGAACTTTCACTTCCATTGCAGTGTCCATGGAGACCAGGTGGACTCCATTGGAACTTCCACCCTCACCAGTAAAAAGAAGCCCCACCCCCCCACCCCAGGTGTCAACAGGGCTCAATAGAAAACCTGGACTTCCCTCTACCTGTCACAAAAAGGTAACAGTCATCCTTCCACTGCCAAAGCCATGTCAGAAAAGGCTAGCTGAAACAGAAGGCTTAAGGAAGATCCAGAATCTCATAACATTGTAAGAAAATGTATAAGTTTCAATAGAAAAATGACTCATCACACTAAGAACCAGGAATATCTCAAACTGAAGGAAGAAACATAATCAATAGATGCCAACACGAAGATATTAGAGATATTAGAATTACCTGCTTAAAGATTTTTAAACAGCCATGATAAAAATGCTTCAATAAGCAATTACAAACAAGCTTAAAACAAATGAAAAAACAGCCTCAACAAAGAAAGAAAGATATAAAATAAATTTCAATGAAATTTTTGAACTGAAAAATATAATAAACCAAAATGGGTAAATTCAACAGCAGAATAAAAGGGACAGAGGAAAGTCAGTGAACTGACAGACCAGAATGATAGAAATATACTAATCTGACCAAGAGGGAGAAAATAAACTGAGAAAAAAGTGTACAAAACCTCAGTGACAAGTGGAACTCTAACAAAAGTTCTAGTATTTCTATTAACAGAATCTCAGAAAGAAAGGAAAAAGCATGGCTGAAAAAAGTACTCTAGGAGATAATGGCTGAAAGCCTCTCCAATTTGGCAAGGGACATATGACCTAACAGATTCAAAAATCAAAACAAAACTCAAACAGAATAAACCCAGAGAAATTCATATCAAAATGAATAATAATTAAACCTCTGAAAGATAAAGAAAAAATCATGAAAGCAGTCAGAAAATACCTTACCTGTAAGTTAAAAAAAGAAAAAAAAGAAAAGAAAGGAAAAAGGATTTCTTAACTGAAACCATAGAGGCCAGAAGAAGTGGCACAGTATTTATTAGGTCCTGAAAGAGAAGAATTGTCCACCTAGAATCCTACACCCAGCAAAAATATCCTTCAGAAATGAAGGGAAGATCAAGACATTCTCAAATGAAGAAAAACTGCAGTAATTTGTCCCTAGCAGACACACTCTAAAAGAATGGCTAAAGAAACTTCCTAAACAAGAAGGAAATGATAAAAAAAAAAAAAAAAAAAAAAAAAGATACTTGGTATATCGGGAAGAAAGAACACATATGGTATAACTAAAAAATAAGTAGGCGTTCTTTTTCCCAGTTTCAGCCGGTTCATGGCAGGGAACTTCCCCAAATCCTTAAGATCTTCTGGGCAGTAAGAATTGTATGTTAATGAGATGGCTTCAGGCTGGAGGCATGGGGAGGAGAAGATAGATAGCTTCAGGATGGGAGCTGGTCACCAGAAAGACCTAGCTATGACTACAGGCTTGGAGCTTTCATTACAGCTCCCTGACCTACAGTGAGCAGAGACTGGAGATTGAGCCCACCAGTGATTTAATCAATAATGCCCACCTAATTAAGCCTCCATGAAAACCTGTTAACAACAAGGTTTGGAGAGCTTCCAGGTTAGTGAATACATTGAGTGGGTACATTTTTGGGAAAGTGGCATGCCCAAAGAGGGCATGAGAGCTTCATGGCACATCACTCCCACCACCAATAACTTGCTTAATGAAATCTCTTCCCTTGGCTGTTCCTGAGTTGTATCCTTTATTATAACCCAGTAAATGTAAGCAAAATGTTTCCTGAGTTTTATGAGTTGTTCTAGTGAATTACCGAACCTCAGGGGGTAGTATGAGGACCTTCAGATTTGTATTTGATGGGGCAGAAATGTGGGTAGCCTGGGCACCCTATCTGCATCTGGTATATAAAGTGGGGACAATCTCACAGCAGGACTAAGCCCTTAAACCTGTGGAATCTGACAATATCTCCAGGTAGTCAATGTCAGAATTTAATTGAATTCTAGAGTACCCAGTTGTGACCCATTTGGTGTCAGAAGTAGTATTACAAAAAATACCCCACAACACAGTAATAAAAAATATGGCTAAATACAATAGGCTTTCCTTCTCCTTTTGAATCTTCTAGACTATGATTGACAGTTGAAGAACTGTAACAATGTCAAAGTATTATAAATGTATGTAGAGGAAATATTTAAGGCAACTATATACAGAGGAAAGTAAAGAGAAGTAAAGGAAGTAAAGTGTTTATACTTCATTTAAACTGGTAAAATAATATTAGTAGACTGTAATAAATTATGTACAGATGGTATAACACCTAGAGTATCCATTAGGAAAACTATGCTCAAAAATATTGTCAGTAAATTCAAATGGGATTCTAAAAATGTTTAAGAATGCACAGGAACGCAGCAAAAAGAAAACAGAGAAATGAAAAACAGAAAGAACAGAAAACAAGACAAAATGGCAAACATGAGCTCTAACATAACAATAATTACATTAAATGTATATGGTCTAAAAACACCAATCAAAAGACAGACATTGGCAGAATAAAGAAATGACCCAAGTATATGCTGTCACAAAAAACTCACTTCACATATAATTGATTATAGGTAGTTGAAAGTAAAAAGATGGAAAAAGATGTATCATGTTAACATTAATAAAAGGAAAGAAGGGTGGCTATATTAATATCCAAAAAAGTAGACATCAGAGCACAGATGACTACTGGAGATAAAAAGGGACATTTATATAATGATAAAGGATCAATCCATCAAGACACAGCGATCCTAAATATACATGTGCCAAACAACAGAGATGTGAAATCTATAAAGCAAAAGATGATAAAACGAAAAGCAGAAATAGACAAATTCACAATTCTAGTTGGAGATTTGAACATTTCTCTCAACGATTTAAAGTACTAGAAAAAACATCAGCCAAGGTATAAAAGAACTCAACATTATCAACAGGATCTAGCTGAGATTTACAGAATACCCTACCCAACCAACCAAGGTATAAAAGAACTCAACATTATCAACAGGATCTAACTGAGATTTACAGAATACCCTACCCAACAACAGCAGAATAACCCATTTCTTTCAAGTGTCCACAGAACATATACCAAGATACACCATGTCCTGGACATAAAATAAGCCTCAATAAATTTTAAAGGTTGAAATACACAGAATATGTTCTCTGACTACAATGAAATCAAGCCGAAGATCAACAACTGAAAGATAACAGGACAATCTCCAAACTATTGGAAACTAAACAATATACTTCTTTTTTTTTTTTTTTTAATCTTTATTTTTGAGTGAGAGACAGACAGAGTGTGAGCAGGGGAGGGGTAGAGAGAGAAGGAGACACAGGATCTGAAGCAGGCTCCAGGCTCTGCGCTGTCAGCACAGAGCCCAATGTGGGGCTCGAATGCACAAACCATGAGATCATGACCTCAGCCAAAGTTGGACA